GATCTCGATATAGTTACCTTCTTGCTGGTGAGACCTGATAATGGGTTTCCAATTCTTTTTTTCAAAATTGTGACCATGTAAAAAGAAAATATTTAAAAGGTTCTAAAATATTTTAAACTTAAAAATATTTCATCATTTATTATGATGGAAATATTATGATGGCAAGACAAGAACTACGCATATACGCACTCCAATCTAAACCTTGCATGATTCAATATTTTTCTCGATTATTACACTGGATTGCAAAATTTGTAAAATATTTTGAGCTCTCTCTTATTAAGCATTGCAATTCTTGATAAATTAATTATATAATTTATTTTTTTCGTTAAATGAAATAAGATAATATTTTTATTACGTGTTATAAATTTAAGATTTGCATTACTATTTAATATAATAAATAAATTATATAAGATAAATGAAAATAATATTCAGGTATAAATTACGCTTCGTTGTTTCGTCACAACGTGAGATTAATTGCGAGCGATAAATTGCTATTGTAAAACACCAATTTAAATAATCATTTCATTTCGAATTAATTTTTCTTTTCAGATTTATTTAATTATTATTTCTTATTTTTTCTTCTCTTATTCTTTTTATACTCATTTATTTAACATTAATTATTAATTATTATTCATTTCAATTATCAATTATTTATATTTTACATTTTCTAATTCATTTATATTAATTATTAATTTTCATACTTTATTTATGTTTATTTATGTTATTATTTATGTTATTATTTATGTTTCATACTTTATTTATGTGTTCTTAATATATTTAACTGTTGTTGCATTTATTTTTTTAGCGTTAGATGGGTCTCGATGCATAATCACCTCCTCGTGGTAAGACCTGGTAATTGATATCGATTTTCATAGATTATATTTCCTTCGAAAATTTTCCAAAGATAAATTTTTAAAAATCGATACCAAGCTAAGAACTACGCAGTATCTTCAGTCCAATCTAGAATATTGTGCCAATTTTCCTTTGGATATTTTGGTCTAGATTGGACTGCAGGTACCATTTTATTAAACCTTCATCGGGATCATTGTGGGATCGTCGTGGGATCATCGTGGGATTGCATGCGTCTTAAGTTAAGTTAAGATTTTATCTTTAAGTTAAGTTAAGATTATAAGATACATACATTAAGTTTTTTGCAAGCGTATAAAAACTACATTTCGTATAAAAACTACACTGTCTAACTTCGAACGAAATATGATCATATGTATGTATGAAGATTTAGATTTTTATGTTAATTACATTATGCTAATTACGTTATATACAAGTTGTTCCACATGATCAAATTAATCTTTGTCTGGTTTCAATAGAATCTTCAGATCTTCAAGATCTGATAATCACAAAGTAATTCAATAGAGAAATTGAAATTAATTTTAATAAATTTTTTTTGCATTATTAAATTTTAATATTAAATATTTCTGTTAAATTTTTTTGATTTTGAACTGTAATTTTAAAATTTTAAACTTTTTCATATTTTTATGTATTATAAAGTCTAAAAAGTCTTTTTTCTCTCTATGCAAGAGTTTTTAATAACTTGACTCTTCCATTGCGTCTTCAACGTTATTTTATGGAAAGAGAGCTATTCTATAGAATAAACTCCAAGTTATTTTATAAAAAAATATATCGGATAAGATATTCTAATTGACAAAATCTATGGGATAAAATTATAACTTTTAAATTAATTCATTTTCAATCTAAAAATATTATTTTTTTAAAGAGAATGCAAAAATATATTGATTGGTAGAATATTTATATTTTGATAGAAAATTAAGAAAATTAATCTTAATTTTTTATCTAATAATTTAATTAAATTTATTTTGATTTTTTCTTATGAAATAAAAAATTAATTTTATTGTATGTTAGCTCTAAACTGTTTTTGGAGTTATGATATATAATAATAAAATTAATTTATTACAAATTTCTTTGTAAACAAAGTTCTATTCTAAAACGATCAAAAACATAGTTCAGATGCTAATGAAGGTTTACGTTTATCACGTTTATTACAAATTCACAAATTCACATTCTAGAGTTCTGTTCGTTCGAGAATACAAAGTGTTTCAAGAGTTTATAAGGTTCAGAAATTAAAAAAGTTCTATGGTTTAAATAGTTCGGAGGTTAAAAAAGTTCTAATATTACAAAAATTCTGATTTTCTTGAATTCATCAAAATGCTCGTATCCTTTAAAACTCCTTTCATGTTCATCTCGCGAGATCACATACAAACAGTCAATATTACCGCGGACAGCTTCCTAATTGTGCGACAATCCTAATCTGAGGAAAATTTTTAGAATTAGATCAAGGAATTATCATCCACAAACCTATAAAATCCGCTGTTTCCAGAAAACAACAAATACAACTCTGCGAGTGTTTGTAATAATTCTTTTCAACTAGAATAATGCTGATTGCCATTGAGATTGATTGAAAAATATTCTCAAATCCCAAAATGATTTTTATATTTATATAAAATCAAATTTTACATATATAAAAAAAATCAGTATTAATCAATAATTGTATTTGAATTAATTTGATGATCAACGATCAGCGAAAATAATATTCGCGAGCATTTATTAAATTTATAATCTTATTCGAAGTTTATTTATGATGTTCTTCACACAGAAACTTTTTTTCATTATTATCGATCATCGATTCTTCATTAAAATTAAACAAAAAATAATATTGGAGATTGGATAGTTTAAGAAAATTGAGGTTTTTGAAAAGAGTTTAGACGACTCTTTCAATTGTATATTTTTCATATATTATATATTATACATATATTTCAGACATATTTTAATGGCTGAAACATAACACGATTCTTCGAAGAGTGATATACTCCATGGTTGATTGAATAATAACCAATATTATCAATATTATCAGTTCGAGGAAATTTATAATAAATATACTGTTAAAATCGAAAAGTAATGAACGACTTTGAATATTGCACAAATGAGATGCCTAAACTAATGTTATTGTTCGAAAGACCACCTACTATTGTAGGAGTATATATTCGTTTATATTATGAACTCGTAATGAACGAATGATGATATTTTGACTTTTTGCGGCTAACTGTGATGATTTACTATCAATTCTATCGCAAGACAGTCGCAACCCTTGGTTTTTCCTCCAATCCTTGTCTTTTGGAAGAAATGCACATAGAGAGGAGGTTGGAGGTACCAATGATCGTGCTGAAGGGCGGTCTCGAAGAATGGATCCTCGCGGAATCGCATTGCAGCACGTGGGAGTCAAGACCTTCGCTCGCTCCCACAGTGGTCCATCGCATGGTGTGCAAATGTGGCCACTCGTAGCCATTTGTGTGACACTTTTGTTTAAATTAGAGATCTGGAAAACGTTAGAAAAATCATTCTCGCTCATAAATTATTGTCAAACTATTGATGGTACTCGAAGTATTAAAAACACAGGTCAGGTTACTCAATCGCTTCACAAATCCTTAACACATACGCTGATCAATTTTTAATTATGTATCTTAGTACGAAGTTAACTATTTTAGTTCAAGGAATTTTCTTCTAATTTAGATATCATAAATGATATCTAATACGATTATATTGGTTATTCTATATATCTCTCCATCTTCCTAATTAAATTTGGAATTTCTAAGGGCATGAACTTTTATCAAAAAATAAGAAAGAATCTAATTAACACTTCATGAACACGTTATATTCTGATCACCAGATATGACTAGTTAGTTTTCCTTGTAATAACACATCATGCTCTGAAAATCATTACGGACACGATCATCTATTGTATGTAATATTAAGAGACTCAATATAGGTGTACCATACTTGTAAAACAATCCACTTATCGTTAAGAAAATGCATCAGTAGTTACAAGCACCATCTTCTACACACAAACATTTCAGTCGAAAGAGTATTCAATACATATATTTAATACACATATTATATACACATATATTTAATACACATATTATATATATGCGTCTAACGAATTTTCCACCAGTAACATTACTGCGAGTGCAAATACATAGATCAGTAAATTAGCTAAACAAATTTTTATCTATATCTCACTTGCATTTAATATTTTTTATTCTAATATGAAATTACTGAAATAAAATATTAATAATATAATAAAATAATATGAAAATCATCGAAAATCAATCTACATTTTGATCACATTATATTATTATTATATTCGAA